TCAACAAATAGGAATGCAAGGTAGGAAAGGGCGAGGTTGGGGGGAGGCAGTTCTCCCTAATGCCTCCAGTTTCAGGGAGGAGGTCTCTTTAGAGGTTTTGTTACAGTCTCTCCTGCCTAGTAACATGACTAGGGGCATCTCTCAGGGCAAGGGATAAGAGAAAACAGAAATTGGCTCCCCTTGTCTATTCTTCCAGCCAGAGACTAGGGATCTCTGTGTAGCTTTACGCCACACACACACACACACACACACACACACACACACACACACACACACACACAGAGGGATTCCCTCCTTCCACACTCTGGGCGGTGGTTGCGCACACCTTTAATCCCAGCACTCTGTGAGTTTGAGACCAGCCTGGGCTACAGAGTGAGTTCCAGGATAGGTGCAAAGCTACACAGAGAAACCCTGTCTCGAAAAACCAAAAAAAATAGTTAAAAACCAAAAGGTAAAACACTCTATGAAGAGCTCTTCTCCTGGTAAGATGTTACTGGGTGTCCTGTCTTTGATCTTTTAAGTGGTGCCATTGTTTCTGGTATCTAGAGTTTTTTTTTTCTCTAGTATCTTTTCCTAGTATCTAAAAATTTCAATTGTGGACTTGTAGAGTTACAGGTTTTCTCTGTTTTTTTCCTTTTTCAACATTAGTTGAATATAGATATTTGAAAGACATTCTGTAAACTTACACTGGCTACATTCTTATGCTGTGTGGTAAAAAGGTTGTCCTGGGGCCATTAGTGCCAGTGTCAGCTGCTTCTTGTTAGAGCAGAAAGGCTCAGACCTGCTCCCCTTTTAGGCTCCCCAACCCTTGTGCTCTGTACACCGTTTGATTCTGACTTAGTATTCCAGGCTCTTTCCTCCCAGGTGTCCTGTGGATGTTATTGTAGAGTCATGTGTGAACTGGTACTCTGAAAGTTAAATTCTTGTTTTAAGTACTCCAAGAAGGTGACTATGAAAATAAGTTTCAGTTTGCATCCTTGCCTTCCCTCTCATTTCAGAAAACAATTGCTCAGGTCCTGGTTCATCTACACAGAAATGATTATGTGGCTGCAGAGAGGTGTGTCAGGGAGAGCTACAGGTGAGGTTTGGCTGTTTTCACGGACCAGTGTTGACATTCCTTTTCTTGAATTAACATCACTACTTAGACAAGTTTTGTTTTTATCCGTGAAAGGTTTCCAGATCTTCCAAGAGCTAAGACTGCCGTTGCAGGGTTCTTTTGTTTTGTTGAGTTGCGTGGGTGTGCTGAGCAAACCCTTACTACAGAGCTCGGCTCCAGCTCGGCTCCCACTTAGAGTCTATCACTCAGCTGTTAGAGGGCCAGTTTTACAAGTTGCCTTTTTGCTTATGTTTTCTCTGAATGATTTTAGTTACTTTATTATCTTTGCCTTTTAAATGACAGCAAGGATGAAAGGAGAATGACTGTATGATGTTGCAAATCAGATTGAGGCATTTTCTTGTTGAATGAGTGTTGGTAACTTATTACTGTGGGAGTGTCTTGTGCACTATAGGGTTCCTTGGTCACCACCTGCTGGTTGACAATAGCACCCCAACACCTGCAGCAATCAGAATGGCTGCAGATCTTCTCCTGCTTTTGCTGGGGGCAGTTATCCCTGGTACAGGCGTCTTAAGGAAGAGCTCATGTGTGGTTTGTGCTTCCCGTAGCATACCAGGGTTTAATGGCAGTGAGGACTGCGCTGCACTTGAACAGCTCCTGGAAGGATATGACCAGCAAGACCAAGATCAAGTGTCCGAGGTCTGCAACTCACCCCTTTTCAAGTACATGGACAATGACGTAAGTGGGCCTTTGGTTAACTTTCTGCCTCTGCAAGTGGTTTCCCCTGCAGACTTGTGGATTTTCTACCTCTATACCTGCATTTTTCACGTCGAACTGCTCATAAAGGAACCAGCCAATCCATTTGAACTTTACTGCATTTGGGTAATGTATGTACCCTATGCAGTCGTGACTGCTTACTTGCTTCTTAGCTGTACTGTCATGTGCGTATTATAAACTCAGCCTCATTTCTCACCGCCTCTGCTGCCCTGGCTCTTGCTTTATCTATTTGCTGTTAGGCTTCCTACCTGCAAGAGGCCCGGCATGTGGAGCTGTTGTAATTATGCAAGCCTGTGGGCATCCCATGTCTGTGAGGGCTATGTGAAACAGGCCATTAACAATCATCTTCAAGCCTTACCTATAAAGTGGAAGACTTCAGTTTGTGTCCTAGACTGTTGTGAAGAATCCAATGTTCTTCTGTAAGAAATAGCCTCAACTTGAGTGAGCCACAGCTGTGAATCACTCTTTCTTAGTCCTCCTCCTGTATGTTATCTGATTGCTAATTTTAGAGTCCTGTCACACTGTCACATTAATTTAAGATCTTGAATTTTCTTATAGTGGTAGAGGTAGAGAAATATTTTTTTTTTTATTCTAGGTAAATTCTTACACACACTTTTCTTTTTTCTTTTTGAGACAAGGTCTCACGACTATATAGTAGTACTACCTCACCTTGAATTTACAGCCTTCCTGCCTCAGCCTCCTAAGTGCTGGAAGTACAAGTGTACATCATTCTACCAGGCTTCTTATATGCTTTTGAAAACGTGTGTGTCATAATAATGTATATATGGTATCTTCCCCAATACTGTCCACCTTGTTTTGGGACAGTCTGAATCTGCAGCTCCTTGATTTGGTTAGCTGGCTGGCCAGCAAGCCCGGGATCCTCCTGGCTCTGCCTCCCCAGTGCTAGGTTATAGGCTTTTGTCACTGCAGTTGTGTTTTGTGTGGATGCTGGGCATGGCCCGAGTCCCTTTGGTTACATAGCAGGCACTCTGCCAACTTAGCCGTCTCCCCACCTCCATGCCAGTGTTTCAAGTGAGGGTTCTGGGCGTCAAACTCAGGTCTTCAGGCTTGACAAGCAAGACCTTTACTAACCGAATTCTCTTCCCAGCTCTGAGTTTGTATTTGTTTTTTAATTTGTCCCTAGTTTATACTCTCATTTACTCAGTAGGTTTTTTTCTTCATAACTGCTAGAAGTATTATTGAGTGTGTCCATATTATCTCCAGTTCCCAAGTTAGGTACACAGTTGATACATCTACAACTGTCAGCAGGTCGCATCGTGGTCTGATGCCAGGGCATTTCTCCCCAAATGCTAGTTCATGAGGGTGGATGGTTAGGTTCTGGTCTTTTAAACTTGTGTTTATTACTCTGTGCTGCATGTATGAAGTGTGTATGGGCACAGGTGCCACGGCACACGTGTGGAGGTCAGGACATCTTTGCCAAGTTGCTTTTCCTTCTATCCTGTGGGTTCTGGGGATTGAATTTAGGTTGTTAAGCTTGTGTGGCAAACACTTCTCCCCACTGAGCTGACCTCATACACACACTCTTCTTCTCTCTAAAAGATTTATTTTTATTTTTGTGTGTATGAGTGTTTACCTGCATGTATCACACCACATGTGTGCCTGGTACCTGCAGAAGTCAGAAGAGTGTTGGCTCTCCCAGACCTGGAGTTAAAGATGGTTGTGAGTCACTGTGTGAGCCTGGGAACCGAACTCAGGTCCTCTGCGAAAGCAGCAAGTCCTTCTGACTACTGAGCCATCTCCATTCCCATACCCACCCTCACCCCTGCTCCCATCCTTTTAACAGTTAACTGATGCTAAGACACTGTGTATCAGGATTCTAGTTTCCCCGTTTTAATAACATGTCTTACTGTTGACAGTATGCTAAGCTGGGCCTAAGCTTAGTGGTCCCAGGAGGGGGAATCAAGAAGAAATCTCCAGCCACACCCCAGGCCAAGCCAGATGGAGCTGCCAGCACAGCGGCTGAGGAGGAGGAAGACGAGTACTCAGGAGGCCTATGCTAGTACCCGGTCTGCAGAGATGAGAAGATGGGAAATCCTGACAAGCCATGTTCATGGGATTAAGACTCATCTGCGGGCATCTTTGCTTCACAGAGATTATGATGTTGAGTGTTAAAATATGTGAAGTTTAGTTTGCCATTTCACCAACTTAGCCATTGGATCTACTACCTGGGAGCATTGTTCTGTCCATTGTAAGAGCGAAACAGCAGAGAATACAGTCATATTTTAATAATTCATTTTCAAATGTATAGACAAATTCTAGACATATCATAAGCAAGGCAGGAAGTAGACGTACTACTCTTTTCTCTTGGGTTCTTGTAATTTATTGTTAAATAATTTTTATTGCATTTTATTTAATGTTACTTCTAAATGTGACTTATTTTCTTTTGGTGAAAATAATTATTTCAAAACTGGTCTGGTTCTTCCCAGCATCTTTCCATGTTGTCACATGATACCCATGCATGTTCTGGAGAAGGTTCTCAAAAGCATCTGCAATGCCCAGAAGAGAGGCAGACAGCAGGTCCTCAGCAGCGGTACTCCAGAGTTGTCATCCAGTCTCTGACTGTGGTGATGGTGCATGGTTACACCTTACACATAACTACGCCTCACACGGCTGATGATCATTGATGATCACAGAGCTGGGAACATAGTTGTCACCCTCACAGGTGGGTTAACCAGTTGTGGGGTATCAGCCCCAGATCAGATGCACTTCTTAAAGACCTAGAAATGGCACAGTTACCTTCCCATCCTGTCAGTTTGGGTGCCTTGTACCAACAGCCTCAGCTGGCATTGTGGACCATGAAGAAGCAGGACAAAAACATGGAGGGAAAAACCTGGGATTCTCTTTCTAGGGATCTAAAACATATGTAGAAAAAAATGCTTCAGTGGAGGGAGGGCCTGTCTCAATTTGAAAAGGAAATTTATCCATCACCATATTAGATACATTTAAATTATTGAATCTTTTCAGAGACAAGCTTGGGACAAAAGCTTTAAAATATTTAACTCAATATGTGACTACAAAATGTAAAAGGTAACATTATCATCAGCCCTCCCCAAAGTATTGGTGTTTCTTTTTTTCTTAACAATAAAAAAGATGGCTGTGTTCAAGCATACTTGGCTCTTTACCAAAAATGGGACTAATTAAGACCATTTACATATGTCCAGAATGACAAGTAATGTTCCTGTCAATCTAGTATGTATGCATTTCTTACTTCCAAAATAATTTTAATTTGGAGTTCAATAATTTTTTTTTTTTTTTTTTTTGTTTTTTTTTTTTTTTCGAGACAGGGTTTCTCTGTGTAGCTTTGCGCCTTTCCTGGAACTCACTTGGTAGCCCAGGCTGGCCTCGAACTCACAGAGATCCGCCTGCCTCTGCCTCCCGAGTGCTGGGATTAAAGGCGTGCGCCACCACCGCCCGGCTGGAGTTCAATAATTTAATGTGAGTTGTGCAAAAAGTAAAAAGCCAAAAGGGAAAAAAATGCTTTTGAAAGACATACATTTAGGACTGGGTTACTAATCTTTTCATACCTCAAAGACTTTCCATGGTTATCTCCTAATAGTTTTGAAGCATTCCTCTTTTTGCCCTGTATGATTAGGCCCATCTCATAATTCGTGTGAACTGAAGAGATTGTAAACAGCAGCAGTGTGCACTAGGCAGCAGACCTGACTGGAATAATTCCTGTCACCATGCTCCATCGCTGTCTCTTTATAACCTACCTTATTTGAATATAGTATGCTTAGTTTTGCTAGATTTCCAAAATCTAGGAAAAGCATCTTTATGCTGCTCGTCCTCATGGGAGATGGTAAACAGACTAGCATCCTCTTCCAGGTGTGCTTGAGTGGGTGGGTGTCACTGTACAGGCCCTGCACAGATTACAGGTCTGATGCAAAACACTAGCAAAAGTTTTTATTTCCCCCTAAGTCACCTGCATAGTTGTCTGGCTTACCAGGTCGTTATCTTTAATTGTATTGAGATGATGAATAAAGCTGTTATTTTTATTTAAAGAGAAAATTGGTATTTCAAAGATGGCATCAATGTTGTATTTACCTTTAGATCTGACCAGAAACATTAGTGCTTATTGGAGCAAATTTACACTTTTTAAAAATAGATTTGGCAGTACTCAAAAGTTACTTTAGACTATTGTATGGCCCATGTTATTCAATAAAACCTTGAAGGAGGTCAGTTTTACTCATAGACACCGTAAACAAACAAACAAACAAAATCATGAGTGCATTGTGGATCATCATTGCAGCTCAGTTTTAAAACAATAGGGGTTTACACAGTTGTACACCTCCTGCCCTTAATTAAGAACAGGTGTGCAGGTTTTATGTCGGTTCTTCTGTGTGGAGTCTCAGAAGGAGCATTTGTTCCACATGTACACATTTTATTTTTCTACCTGCATTAAGTCTTTGTTCTTAGACATGGAAAACTTAGTGTTTACAACAAGAATTGTTTTCCAGAACTCTAGTACCCTCCCTATGAAAGTGGAAGTCTGCATGAATATGCTAGAATCATCTAGTGTTTAGTTATTATATAGTAAGTGAAGTCAGTCTTCAGAACACATTTAATATATTGAATTTGTAAATATGCAGAGTATGGTATTTGTGTATGGAATCTGTGCATTATCATATTTTTCCAGCTTTTTTGGTGAGTAAAATATTAATATGTTGTTAATGGAAATTAGATGATTGCTAATTGAAGGACGATAATTATGAAAATAAAACCTAAGACTATATGAATGCTTTTAGTTTTATTTGCTTGTTCATTCTCTTCAAAGATACATTTTCTTAATTACTTACATTATTTTAGTTATCTTTTAGAAGAACAACAGTATTTTATGTCTTCAATTGGTTTTTGCTCTTTAGGAGCCTTGTGGGAGTTACTGTATATTAGTTGAGCCTTTAAAAATATCGGTCCTTTATCTCCTAGCATATTGCTATAAGGACTGCTGCCTGGGGAGGTTGAAGACTATTAAATATATCATCCAAAAGAAGAGTTCACCACAGGGTCAGATGAGGTGAATGGGAAGGGTTTTGCAGTTAGACTTAATTAGAATGCAAGTTTCTAATCAAGTTTCACCTACAATCAATGAGACACTTGCTATTCAGCATTATCCCCAGCTCCGAGTGGAAATTGATAATATAATTTGATATTTCAGTTTAGGACAAGTTGTAGTAAAAAGAACTAATCCAGAGAGATTCTTGGACTCTGCTTTTGTGTTTCTCAGGATTCAGTGAAGTGTTCAAGTTGCTCTTTGGTCACTAAAGCATTTGTAGTCCCATGAAGTGGCTGAAAGATAATGGATGGTCATTGTTCTTATGTGGCTAGTACCAGTAAGTGTCACAGACTGACTGTGACTTGATGATTTAAAGACATACTGACTTGAAAGAAAAAAAAAAAAAAAGACAAATACTGATTTTAAAAATGGGAAGCAGTCCTCCAAAACATGTGCACGCGTGATTTGAGTGTATAACTGGCAGAACTTTCAGACTGAAAGAATTTAGATGGATTCTTATATTCCAGATGTTAGAATTGGAGAGTTACATATACAGATTTAATTATAAAGTTTAAGGTTTAAGCCTTTCATTTTGTATCCCCAAATATCAGTGGATCTAAGGTGTAGTCTTAAAACTCAAGTTTCAAATCAGTAAACACCTAACTAACCTGTGACATTAACACCTCCACCTCACATGTAGGAAATTTGAGATGCCAGATTTTCAAAACCTGAGCTTAAATTCTCAAGGATAGATCATCAAAATGATTACAAAGTCCATTCCCGACACTAGAAAGCAATATTAGCATTGAACTTGACCTGCTTTATCAATATGAAATGCATATTTTTGTACCTATTTAGGTTTAAGTCATTAAATTTAGCCAAATACGAAGAATGCACACCCTTGTGAGTTTAAGAATGCTGCTGGGCAGACAACAGTCAGAGATGAGGGTGTGGCACCTCCTGTGGGAGCCGCTGCAGGCTGACTGCACATCCTCATGGGAACACAGGACCTTTGGTCACTTGTACTTTCGGGCCACACGTCGACAGGGAATACCAAACCCCAGGGGGTCCAGAGAGGAAGCTGATATAATTCCCTTCAGAAGTGAGGTGGATTAAAATGAATAGGCCTCAAGGCCATGGGAGGGAGAACATTAAACAAATAATTCAATAAATGGTAAGCCATATATGATGGGACCTTAACGGGAAGGAGAGCTTCCATTTAAAACCTGGAGGGGAGCTTCTTTGAGAAAATAAAAGACAGGGAGAGAAAGAATGACTTGAGAGGGATGGCAGAGGGGTGGGAAGGCCCGAGGAGCCTCTTCAGAGAGCAGCCCCGAGAGTCCCTCCCCAAGCAGATCCCCCTGAGGAACCTCTGGATCAATCCTCAGAACCAAGGGAAGATTTGACTGTTATAAAGCCTTTGAGAGATGGCAGGAAGCTTCCTGTCACATACGTGGTTTAGTTCTACTTAGCATATATTACATGGTGGACTGATGTGCTGTTTAGGGGCTGATCTAAGACCACAGCATAGACAGCTGCTTAATTCTCGGAGAGCTATGGGAAAGATATGGCTCGATCTCCAGGTTGCAGTATTCAGCCTTTTAAAAGTGAACGCTGTCTTTTTAGAGTTAGACCCCAGTTCTAACTTCAGTTTCAGAGTGCATTGGGCCATGGTGTATTAATACCTTTTCCCTTAGGTTTTTTTGTTTATATTTTCTATAATCAATGCTGTGTAGTTAAATTTGGAAGAACAAGGTTCTGTACAGAACAGATGGCAATTTCTCAATACATAGTTTGAAATAGCTTTATTGCCTAGCTGTTTTTTGCATCTTTTCATACTTAATGAATTTTAAGTAGTCATTGATAAACTCAATCCAGTAGGCACTGCGTTGATCTACTTATAGAACAGCTGCCCCACCATGTGATAGTCACATTTTATCACATTTTATGAAGGCAGGCTTCATTAAAAAAAAAAAATACACCATCAGGAGGGGACCATGTTATTCTGCAGTAATAATTCCCAACTCCGGTTTAATGTGATCAAGATTCTTATTCATGCCATGTGTCTGCCACAGGTCACCTGGGAGTTCTGCTCTTGAGGCAGGGCAAGTGAACACTGTGAGTCATAGGGCCAAAGAAATGGGAACCTGAAATACATCTTGTACCAGCAGCAAGTTGTTTCAGAAGTGAGACACCTGTGGTTGTTTGTATGTGAATGCCCCCCATAGGCTCATACATTTGAATACTTGGTCTTCGGTTGGTGGCTCTTTAGGGAGGAGAAGGAGGTGTGGCATTGCTGGAGGAAGTATGTCACCTGGGGCAGGGTATCTCGAGTTAGCGCTCTCTGCTTCCTGTTTGTGGATCAGGATATGAACTCTCAGCTGTTCTTGCTCCCATGCCTTTGCTCCACCATCATGGACTCTAGCCCTCTGAAACTGTCAGCTCAATTAAACGCTTCCTTTTATAAGTAGTCACGGTGCCTTATCACAGCAATAGAAAAGAAACTAAGATGCACCTGAATTGCATCCCTCATCTGATCAGGAAGGGCCAGTGGTCAACTGGCTGTGAGCATAGAAAGGAGAGCCAGTATAGTAAGGACTACACAATCTACCAGGGTCTTGAAGCATGTGTGATCAATTAGAGTTGATCTTTCCTAACCCTCATGGAATTTTACTGCAACAGAGTGATTCTACACGTCCTCATGTTTACTCATTCTTTTATCCCCATTTTATCCCCATTTTAGGTGACTAGACAGATCCAGGGGAATTGATATTCTGAATGTTTCAGTGATAATGTAGCAGTATGGTGTTAGAACATGGGCCTGCCCCTTTAAGACAGCGGTCTGTCTGAAGATTCAGATCCCACAGTCTGAAGAGATCAGGCCACTCCTCTCTGAAGCTCACCTTTGGTGAGAGTAGGAAGCTATTCCATGGATTCTGCAGCTCCTAACTTATGGCCCTAACCTTACCTGGCTCTTCCATGCTCTTCCATACAACATTTGCTTGTATGCTATGTTGAACTAAAATCATGTAATCATGTGATATAAAACCTATAACCCCTGAAAGATTATAATAGTCAAGTACACCCTTTGGGGATTTCTCTGAAGGTCATAGT